CATTCCTGTGATACAGTCTCCTCCATAAGGAGGGAACCTGTTGGCACCTCTTGGAAGGTTCAGATTTCAAAGATAAGAAGGCTTTCTGTCCTGTTAGGCAGCTCACCCTCACTCCCAGCCTCTCCCACTTTCCCCCATCCACTTTCTGCAGCTCTTTGGACTGAACCACCTATAGAACTCACAGAGGGCCATAACAGCAATGCTACGCTATGGGCGTGTGATGTTGCATGGGCTACGTACCATACCATTTCATACCACCACTGTCTGGGGACAACAGCGATCCAAGTTGCTCAGAGTTAGCATTACCATCGCTTTCAGATGGAGATTGTAAAAGGAGGCTCCCAGAGCCAGGCAGTTCCAGGAACTTCCAAGCCCACCCAATGAGTTGGAGCAAAAGCTAGAACTTGATTCTGAGCCAAAGCTAAAGGGAAGCAGAAGAGTAACAGAACACTGCAGGGCGTCACTCACCCATGGAAAGAGAGAGCACAACACCAAAACCCAGCCCTCTCCTGTGAAAACAAAAATTGGTTGTCTACTAGGTCTTAAGAGCACAGCCTACTTTCTTCATTCCATCCCGGTGCAACTGGATTACAGGTCTTCCATTGCACAACCACGTTTCAGGGATCCTATATTATGTCAGCAACCAAGATCTCGGTTCATCCCTCATCAGATTCATTGGTTCTCATTCAACATTTTCCCCTTAATAGACACTGCTTTATCTCCCTATGCCCACCCCTCCCCTCAATACCTTCAATGAGAGAGAATTAGAATGGTTTAAGAAGCATTTGGTCAATTGTACTTCCTTATAGGGCTGTCAGACTTACAAATAAAAATACAGAATGTCCAGTTAAATCTGAATTCCAGATAAAGTGAACTAATTCTTAGTAACAGTATATCCTAAATATTTGCATTTTTAGGCAACTTTACTCAAGAAAAAGAAGAACAGTAAACATTCTGGGGTGTTTGACTACTCTAACAGTGACTGTAGAGGAAGGTATATAAGAGTCTTCAGATTTGGTTCCCAAGAAACACTTTTGCTAAAAAAAAATAAAAATAAAAAAATAATAAAAATTAAAAACAAATTTTTTTTTTACATTATAGGTATGATAAGGTAGCCCTATGTTTCTGGTAATTAAACTGAAATTGAAACTCTGATCTTGTGAATTCAGGTTCCAGCTTATTAACGATGGTCTCTTGTACATCTGAATTAATTGACTATTGAATTAGGAGGAGGGCGGTTAATTCATCAAGAGAACTGTAATTTCATTGATGAAACATCTGGCATCTGGCTCTTTAAACACAGTGCTCAGAACTCACCTATGCTAAGATCAAAACTTCTCGTGCGAAAGGGGGAAAGGAGGCTGCCTACTGATAAGATTAAGAGGGACAGAAATATATGCTGTTTACTCAATTAGCTGAGCTATATGTGATCATCTCTATGGTAACGAGGGCACCAAGAGTGAGGGAGAAGCAAAGGTTTACTGTAATAGAAGGTTTACATGGGGATGTTTAGGAAAAGAAAACTGAATGCAGCTGTGATGTCTCTAATGGAAGACACGAAGGCAAGTACGATGTCAGAGAAGAATAGGTCTAATGGTGTCCATCTGCAATTTCCTTAAACTGCAAACCAAGGCGATGTTGGCCGAGGACAGGTGGTACCCATAAGTTGGGAAAATAGCGTGGTATTTTATGTCATATCCAGTGGGCAATTCCATTGTATTCATCTGCGTTGTTGTGTCCATATCTAGACAGAGGCCTCATAGTGCTGCTTTGTCCCCAGCTGTCCTAATTAACTCTAATTGGTAACCAGACACAGCCTAGGGTCACCTGAGGAGTCTCATTTGATGGACCGGCCAGAGCAGTCTGGCCTGTGGGCACGTCTGTGGAAGGCCATATTGGTTGTTAGTTGGTACTGGAGGCCTAGCTCACTGTGGGCAGCACCGTGCCTAGGCAGGGGGTCCTGGGCTATTGAAGAAAGCCAGCTAAGCGTGAGCCTGTGAGAGAATCATCAAATAGCATTCTCCCATGGTCCCTGTTTTCAGGTTCCTGACTTGACTTCCCTTAGTGATAGACCGTGACCTGGAAGGTGTGAGAAAGGAAATAAATGAAACAAACCCCTTCCTCCTCTAGGTTGGTTTTGTGAAAGTATTTTATCACAACAGAAAGGAGCTTGGAGCATCAGCTACTGCCTTCTACAGTGTTAGGCTCTTGTGTCCATATCTACTTCACTTAGGTTAGGGAAGCACAGCAGGCGAACTCCACTTTGGGGAAGGAAATCAATGAATCCCCGTAGCCATGGAGACAGACAGGGCTATGACTGGACCATCAACAGGGTCACAAGGATGCACTGCTTCTTCAAGTCAACAAACCATCAGTCCATAGCTTCTGGGCTAGAATTTATTTGTTACCCTGAAAACAAACTACCACCACCACCACCATCAAAACAACCAGCCCCCTTCCTCCCCGCCCCCCCCAAAAAGCCAGCAATCAAAATCTCTGTTATGGAGGAAGGACCACATTCTAGTAAGGGGAGACCAAGCAACAGACTATTAACTTATACACTTGGTAGCAATTGGTTCTTGGGTTCTGTGTGCCAGAATAGACACTGGGGTGTGTTACTAAGCAAAACATACAATAACCCTGTGACATGGTGCATATAATATAGAGGCAGGAGATGGGAGAGAACCTTAACAAATTGCTAAGTTTCATATTTAGAGTTAGGTACTGTTAGGATAAAGGAAGCTGAGGATTAATTGGAGAGGGAGGTTTGGGAGTTTAGGTGATGGCCAGAGAAGCCTCACTGAGGAGTGGACATTTGAGTAGAGACCCAAGGAAACCAGGGAGGAAACCTCAGCTTTCTGGGCTTCCACCAGTGCAGAGAAACAGCTATTACCAGAAATGTTAGTAGATTCCACCAGAGTCACCATCAGATTCAAGGGAAACTGGGGTCACTTTTTGGGACCATCATCCTACTAATGAGAGAATTTAAGGATGGATTCAAACAGGAACTCAGAAAAATTTTATTAGCATGTAAGAGAAATATTCCAGGGCAGGAGTACTGCAAACCTTGGCAGCTGTCTGAAGGAGGAGAATAAAAATAAGCCAAGCCACGTGAGTCCTCTACAGGCTGAAGAGGCTGCCACAGGAGAGAGTGAAAGCTCACAGACCAGAGGAGAAGCTACCTCTGGGCAGCATCCAGAAAACAGACCTGCACCACAAATAAACAAACAAACAAATAAACAAATAAAGTTAAAGCTCCTTATACATTTTTGAGTCAGGCTTCAGCATGTAGGCACTGAACTAGCGACTGGGAGTTCTGGAAAGAAAAAAAAAGTACAGAATCTCATTAAAGGTTTGATTATTCCTTCTTTCTCCTTAGCTTGGCTGACAGCAAATCTGCCTCCCCGAAGGATGGTCCTTTGGCCAGGGACTTGGCTTGCCCAACTCAGCTAACTCTTTAAGGGAGGAGGCTATGGCATGTCTGCTGCCAGAGGTAGCTGCCATTCTTTCGGCTAGAAGGTAATTGGCCTTCAGTGCTACTAAACACAGGTATGCCATCTAAGTGAGGCCAACCAGTCCCTCTCGATCCCAGATTTTGTAACCTAGCCTGACTAAGCTTGCCCTTCTTTCCCTCTTCTATTCAATTGAAATTAAAGAAGGCCATTGTCTTACCCTAAATGTTTGCACGGTGCCCACAATAGACCAGGCTAACTTCAAAATGGAATCCCCGAAGCTAAAATTTCACCTCACCAAGTTGAAATTAAGCTGTTTATCTAACCCTGCAAGAACTCAGGAATAGAGATAACAGCCAAATTTCCCAATGGGCTGAGAACGAAGCATCCCGTTCCTTAACCACCTTCATACACACTAAGGTGACCTGTGGAACCCACCTGTAACTGTCATACTACAGACCAAGGCAATATGACAGAAAATTCAAAGCTAATACATTGAGGCCATCTCTCAAAAATAAAACAAGAAAGGAACTAGATGCTAATAAATCTTGTAAGAAAAATAACTTTGAAGTAGTCATTCTGCTTTTGTTTTGTTTCTGCTTTCTTCAAACTTTTTTTTTTTTTTTTGCCTATGAACCAGATTCAACAGCAACAGCAAAACCACTCCAAAACATAGCCATAAACCTAAACCTACACCCCTTTGCTGAGCAACTCAGAACATTTATTCAGTAATATGGAATATGGAAGGGGGTACTGCTCAATTCTAGAATAAAAATAAAACCAGTTATGACTTTTAAATCATCTTATTGGGGTTTTTCTCTTTGCTTTGTAGTGCTAGGAATCAAGCCCAGGACCTTGGGCTCGCTAGATGTTGCCTCACCACCATGCTATGTCCAGCTTTCTAAACTATTGTGATTTTTGTCTTGTGACTCCCAAAGCTACAGGGAAGTATACTGAAGCTGCTGACTGCCATACCTTCCTTCTTCGGGAGAAAATGAAGTGGATGTATGGGAATTATGCAGTCAAGTCCACCTTTGAAGCCTATATTTTCTTTCTTTTCTTTTCTTTCTTTCTTTCTTTCTTTCTTTCTTTCTTTCTTTCTTTCTTT